TAAAAAAAAGGGAAAGTTTTTTATCCCGGACGAGCCCCAATTCTGTTATGGGTCAGTTACCCGAAATGCCAGCAAAGATCAATCATACAGTTTAAACTTAACAATAATTTATTTACAGTAATATACAAATCATTAAGTACAAACTTAGCAAAAATCTAAAAATACATACATCAGAGTGTCCGTTGCTGCACACAATGTCCCAGTGAAATTATATCCTAGTAATACCTCAATGATGCTTCTACGACAATTCTCTATGCATCGAATTGACAGGGTACAGAAATATAAATCTAGAATATTCTAGAAATTGTAAATACATGATATTCCTGGAAAGTTCTGGACATAATCAAAGTTCAAGAATGTTCTAGAAAAAATGACCAAACATATTGACCACTCTGGAATGTTCAAGAAACTTAATGTTACTAATAATATACAAGATAAAACAATACAAATACAACACATCTCACAACAATATATGTATTACAATTGAAATCTATCATATTGTATTTATAAATATACATGTATTTGCCATATCCAATCAAAAGACGGAATGTGGAATTCAGCTTCTTACTATATGTATCACGTAAAAACCTGCTCGTGTAATCATCAAAAACTTCGGTACTTATCATTATTTATTTTATCGGTGAAACATAACAAGGGAGAAAGAATGATAGTTGTATGCTATTGATATATTTGTTGAATACTACAGTATAGTGATTTATACATTTTATCATAATCATGACCATCGTCACAGTAACTATCAAACACAAAATAAAACCTCTAAAAAGCGATTCAATCAATCGTCTGGAACTTCAACCGAATTCGATTGAGGAAATATCCTGTAAAATTGTATTTCCTCGTCAGTCCTGAGTGCCACTTTTAATAATTCAAGTACTTCTCGAGTTGGTTGTAGTGAATTATTTTAATTTGCTTTTTAGACTTTCACATGTACAATTTCAGAGGTACAGATAATTTATCCAAAAAGAATTTGTACATTCATCAGTATTTATTTTTACAACAAGTATGATAACTATTTTAGTCATCAAAACAATATCTAAAAATAAAAGCTCACTCAATATTTAATATGAATACTTTGTTCATTTTTCATTATACAATTACTTTTTCTTCATATAACAAAGGATCCGGCTTTAATTTCAACAATGTATTCAAAAATGTTAACCCGAGGGTGTATACATTTTATGTTTTGTTTATTTGTTGAATATTGAAAGGAAACTCAAATCAAAAGGTTGGATAAATTGAAGTGATGTTTTAAGTTTTCTTTTGTAATATCCAACAGCGATATACATTTTTATATCAAGTCATTTACATTAACAATTTCCATTGTAATTTGAAATATTGTCAGTGTATTATTTAAGTGTATAGCTTTCTCAATACATAATTTCCTTCAATGTTTGCTGTTTAAAATGACGGAAAAAAGGAAGCCTCCCACCAAGGGAGAACCTTGATACTAAATTTGGACGACCTTTCCTTTTACTTCCGTGTTATTTGGTTTATCTTAACCATTCCTTTAATGACTTATCTCTTTTTGCCACTCAGGATATACAGCATATTTTGTAGACAACTTCAGTCATATATAAATAATGGTAAGAATAAACGTTCAATTCCACTACAATTATGGCGAACAAAATCACCATTTTATTGTTTTGTCTAATTGGTTATGTATATTCAGGTAGGCAATAAGGTGCACTTTGTTTAAAAATTTATAATCTTATCAAATCAAGATATATGGTTATTGGAATGATGTATATCAATGTTGATTGCAGATACATGCAGAGACAACTTTAAATCATGTAAGATTTATGAGAAAACAGCGTGTGGAATTCCTGCTTACTTTACTTGGATGTTCCGTAACTGTGCGCTGACCTGTGGGTTTTGTCGTATGTATACAACTTATTTGACAAAAAGTTTGATAAGCTCTATGGTCGATGCAATGACCTGTCAGCAAATATTATTTTTCATCAAGTCAAATGCTGTCTGACGTTTTTAATACTTATTGTTAGACCATTATTTACACACATTGACATTTGCCGATCTTGACAAGGGGCACACGGCGGATGAAACCGGTCGTAGGGGATGTTCACTTCTCCATCGAACCTGATCCTGCCTCTGTTGTTTTGGAGGTCGGTGTTTGCTCTGTTCCAAATTTAAATTGTGTAATGGACTTTTGAGCTTGAATACTGTTGGGATCTATTCCCCATTTATTTCATATTATGATAAAGAAATCTGATTTGAATAACTATGGCGGAATAAAGAATGTTTCAAGACCAATTTTGTAAAATAATTCATCACAACTCTTTTAATAAGAAAGTCACAAAATGCATATGTTTAGTAAAGAGAAATACGATGACAGGGAAATTAAAATCACTTTTAAAGGAACCAACATATGATAACATGGAAACCTTGAACATGTAGAGTTCAGCTTTCAGTAATATGGTCATGCCTATGGAATGTCTATTTTAGTCAAAACGACATTTTAAAAAACGTGAAGACACATTACCTGCAAATTCTTTGTAATATAAAGCTTTGAAAGGCAAAATGTAATAAAATGATGATTTTAAAATAGAGAAAAGATTTTTAAAAAAAGTAAAGGTATTTTTATTAGAAACTCATGCATATACTGCAACACATGTTTGAAATGCTAAAAAATGTTAAAGTCGATTGTCTGAAAGATTTTATCATGGGCCATATATTTCAGGGTATTATAACCAAGACAAAGTGACAGAACCAACAACAACAACAACCACGACTCCAGGTACAGTTATCTAATAGCTCTGATTCCTCAATTGTAGATATGTTAAGGGGATACAAAGAGATTTAAGTTCCCAATCTTTGTCACGTAAACAAAATGTTTTGTTAACAAAGGTTAAATATTCCAAAATATGTTCGTTAAAGGCAATTTTTTTTCAATTAAAAAGTTAATTCTTAATACGATTTGAAAGTTTGCAGTGTTTTACTGAATCTCGATTTGTTATAAACATGATATTTTCTATATGTACTAGTAAACAAAATCAAGGAACGAGCCTTGTTTACATATGTAGAATTTTAAGTTCAGTGTCTCCATTCTAAAACAACACATTGTGCTCAAATTTTTGTTTATAACACATAATATGTATATCATGAAACACGCTTACAAATTCATAACGCTGTGAGCAATAAAAAAGATATCATTTTAGAAAGGAAATTTATCAAAAGTCTAATATGTTTTTTGCAAAATATCAGATAGGTCGTCAAGAAGGCAACAAATCCAAATTTATAGACCTTTGAAAAAAATTATTTAACAATATTTTATAAATAACACAACCCTGATTTGATATTACAATCTAAATAAAACTAGTGCTAATTGTAACGGAAACCGTTACAAGATGTTCCCCAAACGCTCCCCAACTCCCTTTTGGTGCCATATTCCCTGTAAGCCTTACTAAATAAGACAACATCTGTGCATTTTTGACTTTAACAACGTTTTCCCAAAAGGATACTAATTATATTCAAATTTTAAGACTGCACGCGTGCCTATGTGAATGCACGTGCATAATGATCATATAATCTTGTCTACACTTTCTATATATTAAAATATACTTTATATGAAAGCATTTAGTTCAAAAGTATTAAAAATCACTCATTCAAGTGTATTTTTAATTTCACTCGTTCCAAATGCACGCACGTGCGTGCACGTGCATGATGATCATACCTTCTTGTAGGAAGCCCTTATATATCTATTTATGGTCTAAATCCCATCCTGTTTGGTTGAAAACCAAGGGAATTATAGTCATCTAAAGATTCAGCCAATCAGATTGCAGCACACGTGCATCCAAGTGTTTTCAAGAATTTTTTTCTAAATCATATTGTAGAATATCCTAATGCATAACTATGTTTTATATTTCAAAGCATTTCGTCAAAAATCAAAGGAGATATAGCCATTTAAAGTTTCAGCCAATCAGATTGCAGCACACGTGCATGCGCGTGATTTTCTTGAAATTTTTTGTATATCATATTGCAAGATATCCTACTGCATGACTATGTTTTAAATTTCAAGGCATTTCATCAAAAATTGAAGGAGATATAGCCATTTAAAGTTTCAGCCAATCAGATTGCAGCGCACGTGCATGCGCGTAATTTCATGAAATTTTTTCCATATTATATTGTAGGATATCCTAATTCATGACAATGTTAAAAATTTCAAAGCATTTCATCGGAAAACAAAAGAGATATTGAGATTTTTGTTTCAGCCAATCAGAGGAAGGCGCACGTGCATGCGCGTGAGTTCATGCTAATTTGACAGTGTCATATTATTAACACTTTTAATATATCCTTATGTAATGAGTTTCAAAGCATTTCATCAAAAAATGTAAAAGTTATAGCTATATTAAGTATATCAGTCAATTCACTCATTTCACGCGCACGCACGTGCAGGCGTATGCGCGCGAAATGACCTTCGTTCCGCACACCTACACTACACACCTATTAACCCTAAAAAGGTTTTAGCTCAGTTGGGTGAACAGTTTCTGAGAACACTCGCGGACAAAAAAGTACCGGAGAACAAATAAGAAAAAAAATAATAATTATAATAACTAGAGCCGAGCTCGTTGCAAAGCAACGAGTAGGTCTTCCGTCCTGTTTGACCGGAAATAGCTTTCATTTTTAACAAAAATGAGAAATAACGCCTAAAAATGGTTTGAATCCTCTAAAGCTATGTTAATTAATGCAAAAATATGCAAATTTTTGCTACTTCCGGTTTAACCGGAAGTGGTGACGACGGACGGAAAATTAATTTTTATGCTACCAGAGACATATGTTACCCAAAAACTTGACAAGAACGGCAAAAATACGCGTTTTTTGACTACTTCCGGTTTGGCCGGAAGTGACGACGCCGGACGTATTTTGTCGACACAAATAGATTAAACTTAACATTTTGAACAACTTTGCTTCTTTGACGTATTACAAATTCTCAATACTTTTTGAGATATCAATTAAAAACTTTTGGCCCCTCTAGATCCCTTATTTTCGGGCAGCCCTTTTTTCGAGATATCAATTAAAAGATACTCCAGAATTCTTCACAACTTTTGTTCTATATGTTTTAACAAAATATTTACAAGTAAAATGATATAATAGAAAAAGTGTTAGAAAGTTTGAAACGCTCAATATGACTTTTTTCAGTCCATGCCGAGCGTTAACGTGCAGTACTTCCGGTGAAAGTTAACAACACAATGCAAATCTACATATGTTGCTCTATCTTCCTGAAAAGGTTTCATCTTCCTGTGATGAGCGGTTTTTAAGAAGAGCGACGGACAAACTGACCCTTAAAAATCACAAAACTGCGAAAATCTCCGAACCGGAAGTGACGTCATCAAAATAAAAAAAAAGGGTATCGAGATTTTTTAATGTTCTATCAGACCTGAAAGTTTCATAAGAATCTAACGAGCCGTTTTCGAGAAATCGCGTGCACAAAATCAGGGAGAAAAAAAATAATAAGAAAAACAGTGGAAAAGAAACATACGAATAATAAGTAGGTCTTCCGCTGAAGACGGAAGACAACTTAATAATAAGAAACAGAGTAAAAACAATATGTTCCCAAACTCCGTTTGGGGAACATAATTAGATGTTAGATCCACTCGCATACGCGCTACGAGTATGCGAGCGGGATCTAACTTTTAATTTTAATCAGATCGATGATATTATTAACAGCATTTTACTTTGATATATGTACACACATTCCCAATTTGGCAAATATAAATAATTGAGTAAGAATTAAATTTAACAACTTTCCATGGATATCAACAAGTATAATCCTTCTATTTTAAACACTTTAGGGCCATGTGTGGATATTTATAACAACTGTACCGTATATAGTCCGGCCTGTGGACAGTCCCAGTTTATGGAACAATATTGTCGGAAAACATGCAGGAAGTTGTATACCTACGCCAATTGCAGGTGAATAGTTTTTTATCCTTGTACTTTTTTGCCCCCAATTCCAGATGATTAATCCGAGTTTTTAATTATAATAAATAAAACGGTTTTATAAGCATAGGCATGCATACATTCAATATGTGATTCATCAAGTAAAAAAGGCAGATATTTATAATGAAACAATGATAGTCTATATCATTGTCTTTCATTTAATATCTAAAAATGAACAGGATGTTTCCAAGATTGGCAATATTTAAGAAAACATACGCTGCATCCCTAAACAGAAAAGATCAAAATTGCTGCAAGCATCTTTAAATAATATTTTCTTTTATTTCCAGGGATAGGAAAGATCTTTGGATGAAGATTAAAACTTAATAAAACTTTTGAATTTGAATAATGTGTCTAATATATTTATTATATATTTTATATCAATCATGTTATATGATAGGAATGTTAAACAATTTATTTTTTAATTTATGAATATATCATCATTCTATTTTGTGCTACTCGCCTACCCTAGATTTGAGTAAAAGGTTCTCTGGATTTAAGAAAACCATCTTGCAATGTCAGATTGTTTTATATATATAGACATATCAAACCAAAATTATTGGCAGAATATTGTAAAAAGGCCATGACGTTGCGCACGGTGTTGGTGTCAGTTTCGGTAACGTCAAAATGACGTTATTTTACGTGAAGTTGTAGAAAATATATTTGACGTTGATATTTTCGCTTACATTTTTTACGAGAAAAAATAAAATCCCAGTTATACCGCCAATTACATAAGTAGTTCAATGTAGATATATAATACAGCAAATAAATTATTCTGGTATGTTATTTTTTTCAATATTTTGTTGAATAGGTTCTTGATTAAAGGTAAAGAAGTTTTCATGATTTTATAAACTTGGCTTATTTAATATGTATGAGTTAATCTTGATCTATGGATTAAATGAAATTCTCTTCTGGTCGGGTATCATCATAGACTGTCTTACAAAGTATCAACTGTATTTCCCTAATGTTTCTCCTCATATAGTCTATATAAAAATGATTGAAGCGCGTTTGTTTCCATCTGCGATCCGCTTTAGATAACGTTTTATGCATTAACTTAATAACGTCAAAACGCCAAATTTTTACGTGTGTGACATTTATGTTTACTTTTATATTTTTTTGCAGGATTTTGTCAACATTCCATTAAAATTATTTTTGAATATACTAATAACTTTTTGAAAAGATGCACATTTAATAAAAATCTTCTAATTTTCAATATGTATAGTTTTAATGACTATATTATGATTTATGTTACCACATTTATGCAATTATAGTTAGATTTATTACTTTTGGACAATGTGTGACATTTATGTTGACTTTGTAAAAAGCCTGTATAACAAACACTGCTTTATAGAATCAATTCAGTTTCATTTCTAAATAAATTTTTGATTTTGCACATTTTGTATTAAATGTCGTTTGGTACCAAATCAGAAAAATAAATTGTTAAAATGAAGGTAAATGCTGGAGTTAGCATTAAAATGTGACGTTTTTGCCGTCAAATTCAATTGTGACATATAGGTACATGAAGTACATATATGTGAAACAGCAGTTATTATTAAAATTTAAGTAAACCACAAGTTAAATTTCTGTCTCGAGATCTTCTCCTTAATAACATGGCAGCATTTGTAGAATTTAAAATAATTTTCAACATTAATTTTTCACCCAGCATTACAAAATTTACCATTTTAGGAACCATAAAAATTTTGTGACATTGAAACTCCAAACTTTGTGACACACCACCATCTTATTCAACATCCTCACAATCAATCAGGTTAATATAAGAAATCCAACATGCATATCAACCCAAAATAACCATCTTTTATAAAAAAGGATTATTGAGAGGTAGTTTCAAAATAAATTTAGCTCATGTAATTATTATTTTAAGTAACCGAAGACTTTTTATGTGTATCCCTATTTCGTCGATTAGCCTCTACTACACATCTGTCTTGGATTTTCAGCTAAATCGTGTACAGAGCACACGGATTGAATGACAATTTTACATCATCTGCATTGTATTTTGAAATTTTCTGCCAAATTTTATGTTTCTATTGTTTGTTTTAAGGAAGTTATCAACATTTTGTAATTGCGTGTGCGACGCTCCTGTTACCAATCTACATGCGTTTTTCACGTAATTGACGGAATGGTCAAATTAATATCTTTGACAAATGGAATTTTTTTATCAATATTTTTGTTAAAATGTATTAAGTATACAATTACCGACCGAATGATATAAAGTTTTTATATTGTGAATTGTTTTAAAATTATGAAAATAGCGCAAATGCCGCCGCAATAGTAATTTTTAACTTTTTGACACCAACACCGTGCACGACGTCCATTTATTCGTATGAAAATCCTTCATGGAAAGATGACTGATTTACTAATACAAAGATTTCGATGACTATAGACTTAGTCATATATCTTTACATTGATCTTCTCTTTGAAAATACTAGTCTCACCCAAAGACGTAAAGAACATTACAAACTTGTTAACTCTTGGACAGAAGAAAGACACATATCAATGGAGTATCTGATTAAAACCTTTTTCATTTACTTTTTAATATTCAATAGCATCTTCAAGTTACGTTACATTTTATTGAAGAAGTGAATTTATGCCTGAAATAAGAGTTCAATTGATGATGTTTACATAGTTTTTGCTACTTAAAGCGAGTACAAGTTTAACCTACCAATTCGTTCTGCACACAAAACAGTGTTAAAAAGTGAACAACAGTCTATCCATTAATTTACACGTGGAGGTTGGGTGGGAGGCGGCATCAGTAAAGTGTACACATGCTATAAAATTGTTTATATACTACATTTTGTTAATAAATGTTTGATGAATGTAGACATATTGTAACGCTTTTTTATTCACTAGAGTTACAATTGAATTAATAAATAGATTTAAAAAATGAAGAAATATTACAGACTTTTTTTCCCAATCATTTTCGGGTGCATGATATGTACAGAATTGCTACAGATCTATGGCGTACCGTTTAAAGCTAATTCTGCAGAATTACTAATGACCAGAAACAGAACAAAAAAAACAAACAGATTTTGTGCATATTTGATTGATCATAATTATGTAATTTGTGCATCTCTTTTAAATTCCCAGCATAGCTGTAGGTATTGTC